GAAATAAGGGGGTGTCACTTTAGGAGACATATGTCAGTATCGGCAACTTTCCTCTAATATTATTTTTAATATAAAAATCCCTTTAAACAATTCCAAACAAATTGAAGGTTCAATATAGTCTCCAAACGCGATCAATAATTTATGTAATAATATTAATCACTTAGGAGCCACTTTAAAAACATTTTTGTAGCAGTCTTAAATGAATTTTGCTTAAAATTCTTACAATTTGAGGAAAGTATATTTCGAAATTAAATAAAAAGAACTTTAGATATTTAAATTGATCATTGTTTATCCTCAGAATACTATTCACTATTTTGCGGTAAGCAATTTATCGTTGAGTAAATATCGATCGCATTGTGATTCATTGTAAGTACGCAATCGTCGAAATTGAAAGTCGGTTCTTCTCTCTATCCCCGGACGACAGGGCGAAAACGATGAAACGAATAGGTATTCATCGTAAGAGGCTGGTTACCGTCATTCGTCGAATGGAAATTCGGTCCTCGAACGACATTATCTCCGCCCGTCGTGGACCAAAACAGATGGCTAAGGAAAAAGCTGAGCAGATCGAGAAATCATACTCACGCGAAAACCGAGAAATCCGTCGTAATTCGTTCGCCGTCGCAATGCCCGAGATTCATCTAATTGGTATCCAATTAACCGAAATTGGCGCAGTCAGTCTGAGAACCTTATCGTGACTCGAATGTCTTGAGGGCAGATTTTGCTGATTGCGAGAGAGGACGTGCCATTGTTCAATGGTAGACACGGTTTTATCGAACACGTCGCTGGAATATGCATATTGATTCCGTTGAAGCATTAATTTATACGATTAAGCCATTCCTCTTATCCATATGTAATGATGAAGCTAACAATTTATTTATTAAGTACATGAATAATGTTTAAGTAGAAGCATTTATATGTATATTACTGTAAAGATATTTATATCATTAATAAATATATAATTATAAAATTTATACTATCACTGAAAGAAAAGATTGGCTGAATATGGCATAGCATTTTTAATTGGTTGCAGCAGTCAATTTTTGGTTGCGTTAACCTATTCGCAATGCCAGTATAGGATTTCGATATTGCAATTAATTGACGATGTTGCAGCCAATTAAAAATGCTATGCCATATTTTACCATCTAATTTGCTGTACCAGCCAATCGATTCTTTTAGTGTAGTGATCGTATAAAATTATTAGCTATGGCTCTAATATGTGAAATTTATACTTTTTTTAATGGCACATTTTGCAAAATTGATAATTGATCATACATTTTGTTTCTATCAGATTGACAATAAATTGTTAAAATTTAATATCTGTGAGTCTCTGCACGGAGAAAATTTTATATTAAGTTTTAATACAATTTTAAATTACACTTTATTATGTCTTGTATTTTCGATGAACTCTCACAACATGATTCCGACTTAACTTTTGCTATGGTAATACTAATTTTTATCACATAAATAAAGTAATTATTTTGTTAAGCCATATTCTAACATGAAAACAGTTAATTTTTACTATGGTTCGCAAACAAAATTTGCTAGGTATTTGATTTTGTAATAAATTTTGTAATAAAAAATTTTTACTATGAAAAAGTGTAAAAATTACGTTATATTATTGTTTTTAAAAAAATAACTATAGCATTTAAACCTATAATACATGAAGACCGCAGCTACCACATTGTAGTAATTTTAAATATAAAATTTTCTCCGTGTGCGATTATTGATGCGTAAATTATGTACTTACTCATAATGTGATAAGATGCAATTCGTACAATTAGAACGTATTTGCTAAACGAAAATAAAAACATTTCAACTCTAAACGCAGTGCGAAAGTCAAATAAAAACTCAGCAGTTCTAACTGTTTTACTTAAATTTATTCTTGGAGTCACAAATATTACTATTTTGTTTATTTAAATTGTCAGAAGTTTCGAACTTTTCGAGCATGTAAAGTGGAAATAAATATTTAGAGAGAGAACTTACGGAACCCGTACGGAAAATTGAAAAAGACCATCGTGCAAAAGTCCAGTCGAAGTTCCATCGACGGATAGCATCGACGGCAAAGCCGAAAATTTATGAACCACCCTCCCACATTCGGGCGCGACGCGACGCCTCCTTACGCGCGTTCCATTCCGATGATTGCATTCTGAAAACGTATCGACGCCTATACATCACGTCTGTCCCGACGTGGCGGCGACCTCCGGTTTTCCGCCCCCGCGATCGGGACATCGCCATTTACATTCGCGCGGCAACGAGGCGACAAGAAACCCGTTGGAATTCCGAGCATTGATTTAATTCTGACCTAATCACGATTGCCTCGCTTGTCCCCTCTCCCCTACCCCTATGGACTTCGTTCCTTGGTAATGGCGACGACCGCAGGGGCCCCAAGATCGTGGCATCCATTTCTGTCGATGAGGCCCGACGGCGACGCGCTTGCGAACGACGCTCGAGCGTTTCAACGATCGCATTCTTTCCGTTTGACCGCATTGCGACGGGGCGCACGACGACTATTAGACTCGTACTCAATGCAAATTGGACGCTTCCTAGGCGCACGTCGTGGTTACGAGACTACGGTATACGCAGTCTAATTGCGTCCGACCGTGCCCTGATGCAAAGAGACCTCTACGGAATCGTGTCTTTCTCTCTTTTCAATTGAATCTTGTTCCCTGAGGGAAAATTCAATGGCCGCAAGAAATTCACGTCACCGATTTAACGGAGACATGTTTAAATTAAGAGAGTATATCATGTTGAATTGCAGCCTGAATAAAATGCTTGTTTTATTAATGTCCAATTTTTTTTTTTAGCAAGCGTCTTTTGTTCAATTTTTTGCGATATAAAAAATTAGATAATCGATAACAAAGCAGAAAATACATATAGTAGAAACGAGATCCTTCTGTATAAAATTAAAAATTAAGGAAGCTGAAATGGTTTACAAGAACATTATATAAGTATAATTTATAAAAAATATCTATACTTTCTAAATTCTTTGGAATGGAGTCCCATTCTATAGAGAGTGAAAATTGAACTAGTTTTTAAAAAGAATCGAGGCTCAATTTTCATTCTTTAACAGTGAGATTTTACTCTTTAGAATAAGATTTTCGAGTTTTAGAGAGTAACTTGTTCTCTTTAGGACTTTAAAAAATAAAAAAGTCTTTACAGGAGAATGAAATATTTCTTAAGAAGAAGTAATATGCTTTCTTAGATTAAAATTAAATTCTTTATTATGATATTATATAATCAAGTTCTATTGTACACATATACAGTAGAATTATTTGTAGTAAATGAAATAAATTAAGAAAACTAAAATAGTTTGTAAGAACATTTTATAAGTAATTTTGTGAGAAATACACAACTTATTTTTTAATTAAGAGGAACAAACCTATTTTCTCTTTTGTAGGACTCTAAAAAAAAAATAAAAAATTTTATAAGGGCATGATAATATTTTTTACGAAAAAATAACATGCTCTCTTAGATTACAATCAGGTTCTTTATTATGATATAATCAAGTTCTGTTGTATTACAGCAGAATTATTTGTACCATAATAAAAAAGATAATAGTGTAGCATTTGTCGTAGATGTTCTCACGACAACCTAGATCTCGCGACCGTGTCAACTGGAATCGCTCTCCGAGATTTTCCACGCTCTCAAGCGTGCGACACGATAGATAAGAAGAACGATCATTCTCCGTGCTTAGAAAGTTCCGCCTCTTACTTCGAGATAATATTCATAATTGCTCTACAGTCTCTTTCCTTGCTGAGCTTTCTTTCGCCGATAGCCACGGCTGGTCGGCCAAATTATCCGAGGATCAGCCTCTCGATCGTATCATCCTCCCTCTTATCGTTCGCGTTGCTATTGTACCAGCGGTTTCGCGGCCGAATTTGCCCGAAATCCCACTGGCTTTGGCTCTAATCTCGACCCAATGACGCTGAGATACCTCGTGACGTAAACGTTTATTTCTCTCCTTTTATTTCGCGGTATTTTATGAAACTGCGAAACTCTGCGCCATTTCCGGCGAGATTTATTGTTACCTCCCCGTCTGACATTGCATTCGCGCTCGCGAGATGTAATAATTAGTCGGCCGAAGTTTCGCGATAACAGTTGAGTATCGGATTTTCGCTTGTGCGGCTCAGAAGTCGCTGATAAAACTTTGCTCCGACCGCGGCTCGTATCTCGCAATTATTTCACTCCGTGGCGCTCTCCGTAACCTTCCTCGGCGGCACTCTTGTCGAAACGATGCCTCGAGTGAATAAGAATATTGTTTGGCCGCAATCCATTTCTTCCTTTACAATTCGAAGAGAGGCACAATTAACGTAATTCTCTTGGCCGCGCCGATAGCCACGAACCGTCTGATCGTACTCATCGCATTTTCGACTTTTCCCCCGGTGCTCTGGCTGGTTTCATCGTCGAGTCTTATCTACCGCGACGAGAGGAATATCGCTAACGAGATGTTCCTAATTAAAACTAGCCGACTGCCCGCGGCGTTATAATTCACGATTAACGACAACCTCTCCTTTCTCGGATCTACATCGTGAACTTTCAAGATCTTCGGCGACTGAAGTTGTACCGACATGTTAATTTGGTTTTCTCGGTTAAACTTTGCGACGGTTACGTGAAAGAGAGAGTTTCTTGTACCTAATTATTTTATAATATAGTGATCGCGATGTCGATATAAATAATCTCAATATGGCATCAATATAATTATTTTTTTAAATTTATAATTTTGCAATTGTCATTAAATAGGTGATTTTTATTTTTGACGACTCTCTGATTATTGCATTTATATTCGAAAACAGATATTCTAATATGTATTCTAATATTTACTGTAACATCACACTGCAGTTGCTGCAATTAATTCTGCATGGAGTATGTCATAGACATACTTCAAAGATTGCTTGCATGCAAATTGTGCCATAATTGAATTAAATTCCTGGAATACCTCATGCTCCAACAGAACAATTGACATGCCTTAGTAATTTACCATGTGGTTACATTTTTTTCAGGTGGCTTCACCTGCTGTTTAACCTGGGGGTACAGGTGGTCGTGGGACTTCCCTTAGAAATGGTTCATGGAAGTCTGAGGATCGCCGCGGTTTACATGGCCGGGGTTCTTGCCGGTGAGTAATGTCGTCTGCAATGTGAATTATGTTATGGTACAGCTACGATTTATGCATCTATGTTAATGCTCGTTTAACCATCGTGTTTCGTCGTCCATCAAACAAATTTAAATCAAACAAAATTCTAACTTGAAGTAATTATAAAGTTTTACAAAACTGTTTAATGTTTGTTTATAAAATTTACTTTATCCAAAAAAGAGTTATACAGACCTTATTGTTTTCCGTGTAAATATATTTCATTGTGTAAATATTTATATTCTTTATCTAGTTATTATTGCACTTTTTAACGCAAACCACATTGAACAGATTTTATAATAGAACAAACGTGTAGCTTTTATTATTCGTTTATTATTTTTTAATTACATTCAGTTCATTTTTATTTCAGTTTATTGCTACTTCATGTACGACAATCAGTTGACAGTGCAATTTATTTTCTTTCTATCTCTGTTTCTTTTTAAATTTTTCTCTACCGGATGTGTTTTTGCGCTTGGAATTATAAATGTGTATGTAAATACAAGTCGGATATATCACAAAACGCGAACACCATAACTGAAGTCCAAAACGTCCAAGATATACAGGGTCCTAATTATCCGAACATATGCTCCCTGCTATAACGAGGCGTTTTAATTAAAATTCGTTAATGTTAATATAAATACGCTGGCAGCTGGATAATGAAACAGCACGCTTTTCATTCGTAATTTTGTGCATTTTCCAAATAATTGTAGTAACCTGATCTCTCGAATTTTGTCGGTAACAAACTGAATTTTTTACAATTTATCACATTAAATGAGAAAATTTTCACCTAATACTTTTCCTTTGTCATATCTTGTTATACCAATTAAGAATTTTAAACGAAAATATCGCTACTTTTACATTATCATACGGTCCCCTTTCTAACCAGTTTCTGTGCGAAACATTTTTGCATATTTATCGAGACAACAAAGGCAACCAAGTAATTCCGGTAAATTGTTCCATCCCGTGTATATATATATATGTACGAAATGTGTATACACAGGGATACATGTGCGGGCAAACGTATCTGTATACATCTAATTGTCATTTGCATAAATTCGATTAGACACAGATCCCGAGTTATTAGCGGTCATGAAAGTAAAACGTGGCAAAATGGAGCGCATGAATAATTAACTCTAGCCGGACGGGGACAAAGAGGATTCAGGAATTAGATAGGGGCATGAAGGTATAGGAATTTCAAAGTAGTGGCGGCAATGTTACTATCAATGAATTAGCAAAAATGGGCGATGATATTTTTTCATACATTCACATTCATACATTAATTATAATACAGTACAAAATGCTAAGAAAATTGTACAAATCGATATAAATACTGTAAAGGTAGTCTTAAAAGACGAAACTTGCAAGTTGCGTCTCGCGATCACTGCATTTTCAAATTCGATGAGGTCGTTTACCCTTTAAAGTCCATCACGGTGAATATTAATCAAATCATTGCACGAAATAAGATTCTATATAAGGATGTAGAAGCTGTCAGAGTACAGTTTTGCATAAAATATCACGATAAGATATTTTCAGATATTATAATATCATCTTACGACTGATTCCAATATCTCATTTTAGAAATCAAAATTAAAATTAACAATAAGAAGAGTATTGATATGTGTCATTTTTTGTTATATTTAAATTGAACTGACAAAACAATTTTATATATTGAATAATTTATTGAAACTTAAAAACTTGTGGCAGAAAATGATATAATTAGATACGATCTTATTTACTAAAAAATATTGCATAATTAATTCACTTTGTTTGACAAGTTCAATTTTTATACAAAACTCATTCAGCGTCGCCATGCTTCATTCTTTTCTATTTCTTGTTGTGCATCCTTCTAACTTCATTCACTTTACACAATCGCACTATTTTTATCACTTAAATAACTTTATAATACGTTTACATTTGCACTTACGCTATTACTATTAATACTATTACTATCGAGTGACATATCCCGTATGATTATATACAATCGGATGAAAGAAAATACAAATTAGAGCTTCTATAATAAGAGTTTAGTCAATACGAAAAAAAAATGACAGATAACTACATCTCTTTCTTTTTTTTCCTCTCATTTTTCAAAAGTGTACGAAGCTATTCAAACTATATATACCGAATGGATTACAAGTAACAATCAATCAATAGATTAATCCGCTTTCAATAAATGACAGATTTTTATTATATGATCTCTAATATAGATTAAATTATTGCGATGTTATTATCTATAATTTTATCAGATAATCGCGTAGATTGGCAAACACGCGGGATAATTACATACTGTTCGATTCACCACTCCCGACACTTGTTCGCACACGATATTTATCTTTGATGAGCGGAAAGATGCGATTGTGGAGTATGAGTAATCCGACGAGAACAGCTCACTGGTTAATTATGGTTGAATTATGGTTGAAAATAGGCAAATTAGAATTTCTGACTGAATCTATATATAATTATAGTTGAAAAATGATAACCAGAATTCTGATTGATGTGATCATATACTTCATTTTCAACTAGAAAATATTTTTAGTCGGTAAACTTTTTGAGAAGAAATAAATAATACGACGTAGGCAAAACGCGAACGAGACTTGAGCATCGCGCTTTTAAGATTTAAATCTTTATAAGGATAAAATACACATAAAACAAAAAAGAATAAATTCTTTTCAAGCAAGCGAGGAACACTTTGAAATCAAATTTGCAACAGTAAAAGTGTATTGCAGTCATAAATACGAGTAAAAAGAATAGTTAAGCGATATGCTAGAAGGAGTAATAAATATTTTATGTATAAGAGAAGTATGAAGACTGCAAAAGTAAGATGGATGTTCTCTCGCATTTTTCGCGCCGCTACGACCGAAACATCAAGCTCTTTTGAATGCTATCGACTGCCATCTCCATCTCTTTGTCGTTTTCATATCTCGTGAAATTTCCCGATTGCGCATTTCCGACTGTCTTTGTCTAACCGTTTTATCCTAGTTTTCCCGTTTTCGCACGTATCTTCGTCTCTGTTCGTCTAAAGTCACCCACAAGAATGCGCCGCGGCGACAGCCCGTCTGGGCCCACCGCGATGAGATTACTTCGTATGCATCGCGGTCGCGACGATGTAATGCAATTGCAACGACACAAGTGCATCAACATTCCCCGTCCTTTCTTTCTCTCGTCGTAGCCACACTACCTTCACGCGCCTTGCATTGCTCGTTTTTCTTCCTCCGACCGGCCAACTCTTTAACATTGATTGAATTCTGGCGACAGACATATTCGATTAATCTAAGACACTAAAAAATATTCTTTTTCCTGTAAAAGTGTAAAAAGGAATAATCAGGTGCAATCTGTGATATCTTGGAACAATCTCAAATATCGCTACTTATTTGAATTAATTAAAAGTGACAATTCTGAAGAAAATGTTAGAAATTAATTCGTACTTGTATCAATTTTTATTCAAAATTTGTTGCTAAAAGATTTTATAATATATATTATTGTAACATTTAGAATTGTTATTACAATTATTTTATGCTTTTAAATGAAAAATAATATTTTATCGTACTTTTATATTATTTGAAATTCAAAATTCTCATTTTTATTCTCATTCAATCATTAATATATAATCGGCCACTCGTATATTGCTGTGATCAATTAACAATAATTGTTATAAAACAATAATTGTTACAAAGTATTTGCTACATTGCATACATCAATTAATATTGCGCCATATTGCAGAAAAAAAAGAGAAAAAACGAAATGTAATCGTCGAACTAATAAAGCGCATAAATCAACGTTTTAAATTATGCGGTCGGTGCACCACATGAGTGTAAATTATCTTCACTGCGGCGTGAAACCAGGGGCAGCTTATAAATGCACTTCTCCGGGGTGGCACGGATTAATGTCGTTTACGACATCGCCGCGCTTATTGCTGGCTGTACTCCCTGTTCTCCCTATTGCTCGACCATTTCCACTTGGAAATTTGGACGTTGGAGCGAGTAACACTATGAGATAGCGATTTGTCGTCATATGAAAGTAGAATAAACAATGTCGCACAACGTATATATACATACATTAATTGTATTCATAAAGTAATGTATATATGTATTATTTATTTTATAAAAACTTTATTTTCTGATGCTGAGAGTGAGACTAGATAGTCTAAACATCTAAACATTATCACTGGAAAAAAAGTTCGGTTGCATTAATTAGAATTCTAATTAAATACTAGTATAATTTTAGTCAAGATAATCAGAATTTTTATTAATATGATCAGAATTATCTGGTTCGTCCATTTTCAACCAGAAATTTTTCTCAACGTATAATTAAGCGTATATGATATATCTTGAGATACTTAAGTGTGAAAAAAATGTTTTCTATTATAATCTCTAATTATTATGTGAAATAGTATGTGATTGTTTAGATATTTATGTATCTTAATTAAAATTCTTTTACATTGAATATCAAAAAATCGTATTATATTCGAATAGCAATAAATATTTAGTTTTGTCGTTAATCGATTGACAAGTTGTCAATGATACTTGGAAAGACTAAATTCGCGAACCACAAGCAAACAATATCAATTTGCCGAAGTCGTTTATTCTTATTAATGCCTCATGCGATATACCGTACCGCTCGCGAGCTTCTATAACGAACGTTTCACGATATATTTACAGTTTTTTTCTGGGGAATTGATACGGCTTCGTGTCAAAGCGCCGTCGTCATTGTCATCATCATTATTGTCGTCCTCGTCGCCGTCGTCGCGGCGCTGTCGAGTCGATTGCGTGACATTAGCAATTATACGACGGTATTTGCATGTCGTACGACGTGCCTCGTCGTTCGTATGCACGACTGCGTGTGGCCAGTCCCCGCGCATTAACTAGACTCGAAGATAGCAGACGACAACGACGATAGCGCACCCGAGAGTCTCCGACTCCGAGAGTCGATACTTTGGCTTTTTTTCTTTTTCCTTTTTCGCGCGCCTTTAACTTTCCTTTCAGCAC